ATATGATCTATTCCAGATTTTGATGTTTCAGTTACTTTAGTAGGCTCTTTAACACGCTGAGTAAGATTAAAAAGTTTTTAAAACACTTTCATAAGATTCAGCAGGTCGTCTCCGTCTTTTAACATATGTTAAAGTCTCCTAAAATGAAGATATATTCACAGTCTGATCTAATCTGACATAAAATGTTTTCAAATCGATCAGCAAATTTCATTTGTTTTGGTGGACGATAGATAACATGTCCACCCAACTACATGTAACCCAGATCCCAGATGATGAGGGTTATGAAATCCGCCAAATTATGTACCAGCAAGCAACTGGACGAAAGAAGAGTGGGTCTCACTTTAAAAGTTAGGAGGAGACAAATCTATTACGTTATTACCTGCTGATAAGGGTAAAACAACAGTGGTCATGGATAGCAATGATTATGAGAGCAAGATCGTAACCGTGGTATATGTCCTTATAGCCATCCTGTCTATATTTTAAAAGGAAAGAGCAAGATTACGGGGTCCCAATACAGATATATGCATCCCACCGCAGAGAAAATCCTTAAAATTATCTGTACACAGAAGATCTACAAACTGAGGAAACCACTGAGAACAAAATGAAACGTCAGGTGATCATGCCATATATATAAAAGGATTATTCGAAATAATCCAGAGGATATCTTACGGCCATACATGAAGCCCAACAAGATGCTTCGTAATAGCATTGTACGACCTAAAGTTGAAACACCTAGAGAAACTGTCGGAGAATGCGTGAACAAAATCTGATCAGAGAAACTTGGAAGGCGATTTGAGGCCGACTAACTGAGCACCGGAAATATTCACCAGATCAGAAAGGAAGCAATAAAACAACACTTACGGATCATACCACACAGCAAATTATTGTTATTGACACTAATAACTCTAATAAATTGGACGGAGATAATGATATTTTCAAGTGACAGGTAAAAGAAGTCACTTGGATGCGCCGCAGCCGACCAACTCTGAATCGAGATGAGGGGTTCATAGACTATCACATATCTTTGACTAGGTACTGTATAAGCAAAGCGCAGTACATCGTATTTGTCGATTTGAATGTTAATAAGTACATACGCTTATAGCATAGCTGAATTGAGTGATTTTACCGCCCCTTTTCGTACATATGTTACGCCAGTGTATGCATACGCACTGGTTATTGGTCTGAAGAAGATGACAGAGTAAACATTGTGCTAGTCATCGAAACGTCACACATAAATATGCTACTGGTTGTGCTATATAATCCCTTATACCATCTATAATAACCAACCTGACAAAAATGTTTATGAATAATCATTTTATGGGTGCCATCGTTCCAGATCTAGACAGTCCTTATTGTTCAACACATGTACTGCGTATAATTTTAGGGTATGTTTTAAAAGTATAGATCCTTATAGGTAGACTGTTTATGTTCTCTTTTCATCATAAATTGTTTTTAATATTGCCGTAGTTTTGCTATATCAATTTGATACCAAAATACAACTATAACTACTCTCTATATATATATCAGTGAAACAAATGATTTAAGTGAATATTATAAAGTTTATATATTTTATCGTACTTTTTCTAAAATACTTTTTAATTCCATGCATAGTTATACCATCGGTATACTAACTTACCGTCGGTATCTGATTTATCGTATTAGTCTATACGAGTTATTTCCCTTATCTCGTATTGTGTTCTCGGTTAGCCAGGAAACTTTATGGCTACCTAACTCCGATATCAGAGACGTTGAAATTACAGAAAGTTCATAAAACAAACAGAGACGCCGTACTTTTGCTTCTAATTGGGAAAATTATATATGTTTTAGTGTGATACTTGGCTTTCATTTTTTGTACAAAAGTCAATGGTTTACATTAAAAATACTAGAGATATCCACATCCCAGTTTTACTTGCGTCAGACGAACAAAATTAAACCCCTATTACCTCTTAATATGAGTATACATGTACATGTACATTTCATTCTAACTATGTCGGGACGTTAATATATACCTGTACTGAATTGGGTGTAAACAATCAACTCCTATATTGTGAAGGACTTTTATTTAATAAACCCAAACAGTAAATGACTGATTTAAATAAATCAAAACTGACATCAGTATTCTTTTGATGCCTGTTCAGTTTTGAAGGTTGGCGATTAAGTTATGAGATTTTAAGTTTTGAAACTGACACCCTCATTAAATACAAAAAAAAAATCACGTCTAGTTTTATTTACAGATTAAATGGACGCCTCCAACTTTAGTACAAGGTTACAAGTGTCGAGGGCAAGTCTGAAAAGTTATTTAAATATACTGGTGACTAAGTTCTGTTACCGTTGGTATTTTTCCGTTCAATTAGACAACTTACTGACGATGTATTCCCTATAGAGCGGGGAAACCCCAAGGTCACTCCTATTTCTTCAAGCTTATTGCTCTTACTCTGTCAATAATTAGACTTTTGTCAGTATTATCTGATCTAAGTAAAATACATAAAAAATGTAGTAAAACCTTGTTACACTGCAACAAGAGATATTTTGTCGATATAAACAGGCTTGCCGATACATTGAGTCAAAAAAACAAACTGATGATTAACTGTTCATTCAACAGACACAGTCCTACAGAGTGCTTTGATTAAAGACTTAAAGACAAAAATAAAAATAATAAGACTCTTTCATGCACAGGGGTGTAGGATAGGGAATTTCCACCCGAGGGGTTTTCAAATTTGGCAACACCCTCTGCTTACCCGAGGCTTTGCCAAATTTGAAAACCCCTCGGGCAGGGTTCAATATTAGGACCTCGCTTGTTTGTTGGTTTTTTTCTCCAAAGTATTTTTGACTATCCGAAGTGCTATTATTCATCACTCATCATCCATCATATATGCTGATGATAACTCCCAGGGCGGCTAAAAGTAAAGCTGTTTTAAAAGAGATTAAAATGACACACAAGATCTAGGATGCACTAACAAATAGATGTATAATATAGCTTCACAACAGTTTCGCTTGAATCTAACCAATACTTTTGTATGTATAATGGTTGGGCGTAACCAACAAATTTCAAAATATAGAGATCTTGTATCAGAAAATGATTGTTATACCATTGAAATTGCAACTTGTACCAAACTTTTTTTTGTTTTTGTCAATTTTTGTTTGTTGTTTTTGTTTATTATATAAATAGCTAAATGTTTATCATGAAAATACATGTAACATGTACAAAATCTCAATGTATAAAATTGTTGAAAAAGTTTTGTATTCTTCCAAGACGTAAACATTTTGTTGTCTTATGGTGATATCCTCAAGGTATATTATAGTATCATACCACATTTTATATCATGTCTGTCAGTCAAGAATGCCTAAAGTCTCAGACGCTCGAATGTATGGAACAGTTCGTGTACGCGATTATTATATGGCAAGTCATGTTTTTACTTATAGCATTAAAGGTTAGAAAGTAAACTTTGTTGCAGAACGTATCCCATTAAATTTAAGATCACATTTCATGATTCGAACTGACGCGATCCATGAAGGACCTACGTGAAGAACACAATCCATGAGCAAGTTTTTCACCATCATGCATGGTTCTAATTTCAAAATGGCTTACCGGCTCCGACTGCTCATTGGTTAAGGAAATATCCTCGTGGAAAGTTTGTCAGGACTGTTGTGCTTAGAATATAGTTTTGGATGTACTTTCAAGTTTCAATTCTGACTTTCCATTGACTGCGTCAGTTTCTATATCATCTTTTTTAGACAGTTGAAGTAACGTTGGTTACGATCTACCACAAGGCTTTCTTTTGATATTGTTACTATTTGTCTTATATTTTAAGAAACACTTAAACATCTCATTCTAACGACAGGAACTTTTAAACCTTCAAATTTTATTTTAAAAAAAAGAAGTTTTTGTTAGCAATATTTAACTGGTTTTTGTACACTTTTAAAAAGTTCAAGATGGACGCCTGTATTTGACATACGTTTTTCAGAAAAAGCAGTTTTTTTTTAACTATAACTGTTTATACTCTGATATTCCGGTTCTTTTATATATACATGTTTTACATGTTGTGTATACTATATAGTAATGGATTAAAACAGGAACATTAAAAAATGTCATCTTATTATTATAATCAGGCTGGTCTAAATGTTGACGCACTGGATAAGTATTATCAAAGTTATTATTATAATGATGTGAAATCTGAGGTTCCTGGACAAAGTAATTTATGACGTCCTCGAGGGAAACTTGCTACTGAAACGTTGCCGACTTACCGAGGTTAGACATTAATTTATGAGATGGTGTTACCATGGTGAAACGACCTACCTGTTTCATGTGCATTTAGCGAGTGTTTATATTCAGTTTTAAACGAAACAACAACTTTACTGCTGGTGACGGTCATGTTTGCGAATACAAGTGAGAGTTATTCCCCCTCTAATGCAAAAGAAAAAAGATAAAAGAAAAGACGGACTGAACTATTTCAGGATGAAATTTTGAAATATTCATAGCAATGAAATTTTTGCATTTTTGCGAGTCACATCGCACTCTCAATTTAGTAAAGTCAGATATGCTTTTTGATTTTACATATTTTCCATCTAAGGACCAACTTGTGTTATATGATATCTACTTGAAAAGTTATCCTCATTTAGAGCCAATAGGTATTTACAGGGTTCGAGTCTATATACGTTTTGACGTCTTTACGACATATAAATAAATAATTCCAATATATATACATCGTACATATGTCTCAAAAAAACCTTTATGAAATCCACTAAAACCCTCGAAATGAGCAGTCTTGTTTTGTAATGTTTTAAATAATTCAAATTGTGCTACTTGTGTAAAAAAATTCATATACTCGCCTCATAAACTGTGCACGACGGTTAACGCCCCGGGGGCGTTCGATCAATCAATTACTCTTTTTTTAAATCTGTATAGAGCAACAGGCCATTTCGATTTTACTCCTTGTAGATTGTAAAACATGTCAGTGAAGAAACGACAAACGCAAAATATATAACAAATATACGAGGAACTGTCTTTTTTTCTTTTTATTAGAAAGTTACAGCACTTAGCATTACATCCATTGCATAAATATATCCTGAACAGCGAGGACATGTTGACACTAGCAACGGTACCCCCTGTCCCACGGTTCTCGGATACCTCTAAAGCATTAACCAGTCAGGCCACGGTTAAAAGTAAAGACCTTTATTAAAGAAAAAAGAAAACTTGACTGAAGTATAATCATTTTCCTTGACATGTAAGGATAAAGGTCCAAATTATACCTAGTTCAGTCAACATAAGACTTTTCCGATCAATATTAGACCTTGCCCGGTCAACATCGATAGCATACCGAACCCGGTCAACATCGATATCATATACCGTCAACAATAATAGACCAGCCCCGTCAACATCAGACCTAAACCGGTCAACATTAAAGCAAGCGGAGTCAACATTATACCTAGTCGGCTCATCATTAGACCAACATGTAGCTCGTTACCCTGTTTCCAGAAAGAACATGAACCGAACCTACATCTGTATCAGTGAGGCGTTTGTACAGAGTTGTACATACTGTTTTCCCGTATAAATATCAATGCAGATGTACAGCGGAAATAGCTACTATCAGGCCAACAGGGAGGTAACCGTGGCTAGTGTCATTAACGTGTTTGGTGACAATTGTAATACAAAAGTGAAACTACTTCCAGAAATGTTGAGTTACACTTATATAACACATTGGCACCTCAACTTGTCCTGTCAAAGCACAAAGTGGATACAAGTCCCTTACAAAGAGATCTGTTTGTTAACTTAAATACAGGAAATAATATCATTTAAATTAAGTTCATATTACATATCCGCCATTTGCGGAACGAAAAACCAAAGTTTGCCGTAAACAAAAAACATGTTTCAAAAGAAAATATTTCAAACGTCATAACCGTTAAATTTAGAATTTGTTTCTTCATTGTAAACTTCTGAGGGTTTTTTAAAGATTTTTATTAAAACTCAAACCTTATCTTCCTTCTCTACCGGGGGAATTAAAACGTTCAAACCAATAAAATACAAAGGCGAAACAGCACTAAGCCGAACTGACGCGGAGAGTATTGTATAGAGTATTACATTTCAGATCGTTATTGCTATAGAATACATCCTACATCTATGGGTAAACTACAAAGGTGAGTATTGTTCAGTGTAAATAGTAACTATCCATATATATATTACGTCACATGACCCCAATCCGAAGGTCAAGTACAATTTTCTCGAGCGCATTTTCTCCACGCGAGATACATGATTGCTGCGACGATATTTACACACACAAAAGGAAACAGAGTAAGCTTTACCACGATTTAACTCTAAAAGTACCACACTACCACAGTATTTGGTATACCACACCACCAAGGTACTGGTATACCACACTACCACGGTATTGGTATACAACACTACCATGGTATTTGGTATACCACACCACCAAGGTATTGCACACCAACACGGTACTGGTATAACACACTACCACGGTATTGGTATAACATACTACCACGGTACTGGTATACCATACTACCACGGTACTGGTATACCACACTACCACGGTATAGGTATACAACACTACCATGGTATTTAGTATAACATACTACCACGTTGCTGGTATAACATACTAACACGGTATTGGTACACCACACTACCACGGTATTGGTATAACAAACTACCACGTTGCTGGTATAACATACTACCACGGTATTGGTACACCACACTACCATGGTACTGGTATAACACACTAGCGCGGTACTGGTATAACAAACTACCACGTTGCTGGTATAACATACTACCAAGGTATTGGTACACCACACTACCATGGTACTGGTATAACATACTACCACGGCACTGGTATCACATTTGCGCGAGTAGATTTCCATGTGGTTCTAGTAAAGGCGAACTAAGCACACTTTAAAACTTTAAAGTATTATATGAGATGAATCCAGACGAATTCGAGCTCTGTGACGTAATATTCAAATCACTTTTACACAATACACAAATATGTAAAAAATAAATATAGAACTTATTAATAATAAACATACACATGTACTCCAAACGTATGACAACAGCGCACACCACTTGACCAGAGCTCGTGCTATTTATAAAGCCAATCGAAATCTATTTTTAACTTATATGCAAAAAAAACAGTCAAGTATTCAGTTATACACATGACGAAGAATTAAACAAACATTTAGAACTTGGAATCTTGTACAACATGGAAAGGCGCGTTAAACTGGTAAGAAACTGATCTCTGCTCAAACAAAGCTGATGTAGAAAAGCATTCGTGACATGAAATGTACATATTCACTACAAACGCACTTTTACACTGTCATTTTTACAACACATACAGGACTCAGGAGCGTAGTTGTAACACCGGTAACACTGCAGCTAGTAAACCATGCCGGAAGTTTCTATTCAAGTCTTGGAATATAACTATTTATTGACTAAAACGTGTCATGTGCTGAAAATTTTCTTACACCACGTGTATAGTAGAATTTGGATCGCATACTGTACATTTGTACGTATATAAAAAAAATTAAACAAGCGTTTTGTTGATAGCGACATACAACACAAACACACAGTTGATTGAGATGATGGCGTGGGCAGTGGTGACTAGAAGAAGGCGAGAGATTGAACATAGACCGTAAACAAGGGAAATATGTTAAAAAATCGTAAATGGTATTAAATAAAAATGGAATAAACACAAAAGCATCGATAAAACAAGTGGCTGTACTGTCTATGTACAAGTAATAAACCGAACTCGTAAACAAGTTTACCGTCTATATACAGATAATGAATCGAACTCAGAAACAAGTGCTATTTAGCTTAACAATAATATGTCTACCTAATACCCGTGAATACTGGACTTACCCTGCCCCGATTCAGAGTGTCGCCGAATGACTGTGGATAGGAACTACCAACCCACTGACTGTAGGTAAGAGCTTCCAGCCCACCCTCCCTTGTGGAACATCAAACGTCACCAAGATGAGACCAAATCTCGTTTGTTCTCATGATTTGTCCGTGATTTACGTGAGTTCATCGGAAGTACGGTTAGGTAGGGTACGACAGCTTACATTTAAACTACAAATAGTCTCGTTTTCATACACCCTTTGAAATGAGTTTCTACATTCCTGTGGTCACGTGACATGGCCTATATGGCGCTCATGCCATGCGCTATGCACAATAATATTCCCTGTTACAATAATAAGGCGTAGACATGATATCTTCCATCATGTATTGATGTAACACTTTCCTGTGCGCTGTAAGTGGCGATATTAAACAGATTAGATCGATATTTCTAGGAAAGCATTTCGTCAGTATAGACTGGACGTCTTATGCATTATACGGCGCCTTCAAAATGCCCATCAACTATAAAGATTGGATTTATGCCAAATGTTGAGCGAAGAAAAAATATTTTCACACTTTTCTATTAGTTTCATCCCTGTCAAAATCCTAAGGAAATAGGGTGACGTTGACCTCGGTCAGCCACTAACTGTAACACGATAAGTAATTGCCCTATCGAGAAACATGCCAACAAGGATGAGCATGTATTTGATGTTCTCCAGAATCTTAGCTCTGGTTCCTAATTCACCACTTGTGGCAGTGACCGCCCTAATACGTATTTATCTGTACATATCACCCGTGCATAGAGGAATGATTGAAGAGTTCTGCCTGAATATCTAATTTCTGTTATAATTACAACATAAGCAATGACAATACAAATGATAACAATGACAATGCGCATGACAGGAAGTTAGTTGTGGCTGCGTTTGTTCCTCCATCACCCTCTGGTTCTGGGGTTGCTTCTGGAAAAAAAGTGAATAACAACAATCAACAATCTTGATTATTCAAGACGGAACAATTCATTATTTTACTATCATTATCGATAAGCATATCGGTAAAGATCTGAATCCAAAACTTCTTTCGCGTTTTGAACAATGTCTGACGATTGTTTTCGAGTTCATTCGAATTAACCAATCATAAAATTGTCTCGCTATTTTGCGAAGTTTAAGTAGTGGTTTAGAGAGTATTACATGTATACGCAGAGGTTCAGCAATCAAGGGAAATGAAACTCCTGCAAAACAGGGGAAATACCTCACACTTCCAGCATAAACATAATTTTCTACTGTAGGCAAAAGGTGCAACATTCTGAATTTGAGAAACAAAGCTCTAAGAGGGGTTTTTTAATCAGTGAAAAGAAGAATCGCATTCCTTTATAGAAGAACATATTCAGAACACACCAAGAAGACTTTCATTTGTTCATCTTCCCTCCATACCCGGGAAAGTATCGAAACACTATTCATTGCTTTTACAAATAATGTAAGTCACAACAAAACACATGAACACTGCCTGTCTTCACTTCTTGTCCGTTGCCCCTTCCAACAAAACCTTGTCCATATCCAACTATGCAATACTGTGCAGGGATCTTTCTACAATAATCAAAACATCGTTCTGTCACAGAATGACCTGCACCGTCACACAATAACCTTTCTGGCCTCACGTGCTTACCTTGACCTCCGACTACGACATCCACATCTGGTTTTTGCGTTTCTGGTTCCGGCGAGGGTGTGGCATCCGGATCTGGTTTGCCGGCTGTTGTTGGGGTTGGGTACTGGATACAATACGGGGGATCTTCTGGCCGAGGGCACGCATCCTCTGAGGAAACAATTGACAAACTGTATTACACATGCACAATGACGTAAATAGATTTTGGATGTACATCACTTGGAGTAGAGTATTGTACACGGACCATCTTTCTACAATTGTATAAAATAGCCCACGTTTAGTGAAACACGGAGGGGGCTAGGTAGAGGGGCAGCCCAAACGGCTTCAATATCGAGATATGTGGGGACACTAGTACATGCATTCGTTAGTGTTAAGACAAGGCGGTATGTGAGCGACCGCTTTGGGCCATGCAAAGAATACATTACTTTTTTTAGAAATCTAAAATGCTAATACACAGTAGTGAGTAGATATATAACTTCATGGTAATACTGACGTTGATAAAAGTTTGACAAGTAGAAAAATACCCATACAAAACAGCCCCTTAGAGTACACAATTATAAACATGTGTGTTAATAATTTAAAAAAAAAAAGATTCGATAGTTTATTAGTTTTTCGGTTCGATAATTTCTATAAGGGTATAGTTTAAACAAAATTACATGTCACTTTACATCTGTATGTGATAATATTTGTTCTGAAATCCCAGGTAAGAAAATTATATCAGAAATAAATCATGTAGTTGCTATATTTTCTTTTCTAATTTAACGCCAGGAAAGTCCTATGTTCCCATTGTATGATATAAACAAATAGTTTCGGTCTGAACGCAATTGCTACGAGTCAAATTTTCGCAGTGAGAACGGTTACCGTATGGCAGACCAAAAAAAATAACCGTTCGCGGAACGAAAAATGAGTTTGACAAGTCTCCAGGAAGGAAGAAGATAAAAATTGCAGACATGACGGAGAGATGAAAGAGGATAAAATGTTTTAATGTTTTGGCAAGCTACAGGTAAGAGGTGAGATTTCTTCTAGACAAGTGAGTATGGGGACCCAAAGGGTACATGTATTTTTTTTTAACTATGATATAAGTTTTATCAAATTATATTATCACTCTTGTTGGCAAAGATGGTAGCGCAGTTGGCCCAGATAGAAGCGCAAACGCCCTAGCAACAACCTCCGACCATATAGCTACACATAAACGTTAACGCGTCGCCCTGCAGTTTTCTTCGTTTAAAATTTACCATTTCGTCACGTTCGCTAAGCCATGCATTTTTGTTTGGTTGTCTGTAAATTTAATATAATCAATATTTGGAGGCATTTGTTTCGCGACATTTCCAGTCATGCGCATACCAACTATTAAAATTCGCGAGTGGAAAGGCTATTGCTCAATATATGCACAGAATCTTTTGAACTCTTCCAATTCAAAGGTTGGAACAGTTCAGTATGAAATTCAGGGGTGAATGATTTAATTATAAATAATTCATCAAGGCTACATGTCTAGTCTTGCCGGATAAAACAGTTTTCCACACTTAGTTTTTGGTATTTGGCAGTGGTACGGGGATCCTTAAAATTCATAAATTCATGGTGATTTTGTGATACAATGACATTTATATGTATGAACAAATAATATCACTAAGACATGCATGGAAAATGCCGTCTTAACCTTTGACCTCTATACTAGCGAAATTCTGGGTAGGTGGTATAAAGCACACTGGGGTTGTCATTCGTGAAAATAAGGGAAAAAAGAATGCCATATTAAGAAAACTGTTCTTTCAAAGCAATTTTGCCTTGATCACTGGTAAAATGTGTTGGTGAACATGACACTGGTAAAAATGTGTTGGTGAACATGACGCTTAAGCTTTAAACGGCTTCAGGTTTCATTCTTCCAGTATGAAAGCAAGCGGAAAGGACAAATTCCGTAATAATCGCTAAAATAATGTAGCGCTTAATGCTCAATTGTCATTTTCATTTGGCATTCACATTGGCTATGAATGCCAAATGAGGAAGGGGATTTAGCATTTATGCAGACAGGTGTATATATTTAGGTTGTTTATCTAATAAATAGAACAGTCAAAAGGGGTCAGTGATGTCTAACTTCCCAACGTTTAACTATGGCGTCATAATAGTGATGACATACAACATTTGGTCAATACTAGACTGGCCACCGTCTCTAGAATATTGAATCACAAAGAAAAAAATAAACTCTGAATAGTTTTGATTACTTGGATGTCTGATTCTAGAGTTCTAAACTAGGGGGAGATAAGCTAGTAGTAAAATGCAGCCAGGAAATTCTTTATAAATCTACGTCATGACATTCAAAGTCGTATTTTTAATGCCCAGCCTTACATACGTTTTACTTAACGCCGTTTCGACGTTAAATATAATGCAGGTTTTACTCTATGACGTTTCATCAATATATCATGCATAGCTATTCAAAAGGTACAGAAGTGGATCTGTAGCTTGTTGCTGCAACCTTTATTCAAGTTGTGTTGTACACTGTCTTAAGCTTCACATGTGTTAACATGTTTCAATTTTGCCGGCCATTTTTTTTATACTGTACTTGAAGCCAAATGACGGGAAAAGTTAACAATAACACTTCTTTTTTTTGTACAATTATAATCACTTTCCACAAACACAATTTGGGAAAGATCATTAAATACTTACCATCATTAGTAAAGTGTGTACGCTGGAGTCCACACACAGCAGCAACCTCGGAAATAATGTCCGCTTCAAATGCTGTGTACCTGAGTGCATATGCTTCTGACGTTTTCTCCATGAACATCAGGTACTTCATACCTACCTCCAGGTCGGAAAACGGGCATTCTCCTGAAAGTAGAAAATATTGGGACATCAGTATACTGTATGATGAAAACAGGACATAATACATGTGTACACATGAAGGTAGGTGGTCGGGTGGCGCAGTGACTAGCGAACTTGCCTTTCACCAAGGCGGTCGGGGTTCGATACCCCGATCGGAAGCCAATGGGATCAGCTGCGCGACCACGTGGGTTTTACTCGGGAACTCGATGTCGTCCTATGAAAGTTTTATCATTCATGCATCCTCACTCAGATAAACCCATACAGGCCCGAAACATACCTATACTGAAGTATGGGCCGATCTTACACCCATTCTTGGGCTAAATGAGAGGGAGTCCTCAAATTTGACATCCAAGCTGTGCTATAAAATCCAATAAACTATTGGTATTCAGCTTTCAAATATGTGATTAAAATCAATGTTTGTAAGTATACGGACATAGTACATAGGCCTGGTACAAAGGGGCAAAGACAGTATGTAAAATTTTAAATACGCATATTCACGGGTAATAAAATTTACTTTACGATGACGTGGATGTTCGTGGTCTATAAAATTTTCGATCATTGACAATGTGCATACTATTTAAAAACTTGAGAAAGTAGTCTTGTTTCAGCAGCGCTATACATGACGGATATTTTTTAACAAGCTCGTACGTTTTATAATTGTGATATCCTGTTTATTGAGAGGCGGCTGTGCATTCACCGTGACGCCACCTACTGGCCGAGGATGATAAATTTTACCGTATATGGTATTGGACCCCTGTTTTCTCGAACGTATTATTGTTGTCAACAGTCTACTCCAAAGGGGATCAAGGTTAATACTTAAGTTAATGAAAACTCCTTAGCTCGCGTGTTTTTCACGTATTGTCAAATTGAGAATGACACAAATCACGCGCCTATATACAGGAACGTCGACATTGACCTCGGATACAAAGACGGCTATCTACAGAGCATGCAGCTATATTCTCATATTAAATAAGAACCCCTTGTTGACCCCTATTAATCCCAGTGACCTATGGACGTATTGCCATGGAGATATATCGACAACCGCGTGACTTACTCGTCCAGGTTCCCCGAGGAGAAGGATAAGCATAGTTATGATAGAATAGAGGCCTAATCCCCGGGCTGATGTTTTCATCAGTCTCCCTCATATATACATATATCACTGATACAAAATTATAAAATGTAGGCCGGATTTGACCGACATTGGAGCAAAGAGCAAAACCCGGACACATTGCTCAGCCATAGAATCTGGTGGCCGTAACACAAGATGGCAGATACGCGGACAGTTGATGCATGTAATTTCGGACAAGACAACAAGTACAATGTACTTCAGTCAAATTAGACATCGTTCAAACCACTGACTACTGCTGCAAATGTACAGGAGATCGAGCAGAAAACGATCGTGGTTGTTTTCCCGATGTTTCGCCTTCATCATGGCTATGTCCATCAATAGATAGAAGAATTTCGTGCTGAACAATTTTTTCTGTGCCAATTCCCATCAAGTGTAATCAATCAACGCCGATATCTCCAACTCGCGATGATATTACATGACGCGATCGCTTTTCTTCTGTTTTATACACGCCAGCGATTCCTTTTGCGACAACATCTTGGGATCACCAGACTCGTTTGATGTTAAGCAAGGCTAGGTTTAATACACTTGTCTATTGTGCCTGTCTCGTTCACAGGTCTATTTCGTTATCTGAACCAGATCATAATTTTAAATCATGGTTTCCATTCACTTGAGACCATAGTGATCCTCTCGGATTCCTTATTGGCCCGAAAATATTAAAACAATTACAACACTTCATGTGACAAAATAAAGTGTCATATGATAAAAAAAAAAAAAAAAAACACATTCTATTATAAGGGCAACGGCATGAACAATTGTGCGTCGTTGGTTAAAATGTATCTGTCGAAATAATTAATTCAAAAAGGTCTCAGCTAATCTGAAAACATGGTGGTTATTTAAGTTTCTAAACAACCCAAAAATAACAACAGCTGCTCAAGACTATGAGATCATTGTTCTATTTCTTCATAGGTTTTGTTACAATAAGCCTAATGGATGTTGAAAAGAAGTCTAAAATGTCTCGACCAGGAAAAGGTCAAAGCAGTGAATCTTTGATCTCAAACATGAGATTATCAATTGCATCAATTTTGATAATCGTTTTCATTTTAGACATGAATAAGTCCAGAATAGTTTGCTCTATTTCCCTTTGGCCCCGCCCCACTGCTCTGAACAACAACAACATCTATTCATACTGTATTGAATCTCATTTAATCAGTGATGCTACGAACTTTGGAACTCTTTTTTAAATATCTACTTCAGGTTCCCCTATAGGACCCAATCCTACGCCCCAGAAAGACCAATATCTTCGTTTACAAAGGTTGCATACCAATCATTGAATAACCCGGGGATAATCTATTCCAAATATAATAACAATCCTTTCAGCTGTTCTGGATAAGAGTAGACTTTTAGGGGGTACATGACGATGGACGTTGCGTAACACTATCTTCGGCTCACATTGACCTTCGACACGGATAAGCTAATTACTAATTCATAACGGATATCTGACATCTACTGATGGGGCCGAAAAAACTTCCAAGCAGGCAACAACTACATACGTAATAAATGCACAATGCTTATGAAGGAATTTGGAGTAAGGTTGTACACGTTCAAGTTAATTTTATATCAAAAGCAATATTGTTTAAAGTATGAAATAAGCATACGACAGATAACATTTGAACCCTTTCGGTATCATTTATAACCGGATAATAGTAAATGGATGCTCTGACATAGAATGACCCAATTGAATTGGTATGTGTAATTCCCCACCTCCTCCTCCTCCTCCTCCTCCTCCTCCTCCTCAGCATTGCCTCATGCTATCCACATATTTAACTCCCATTATAATCTGTTTAACATTTTAGAGGTATTTTAGCACTGCCGTCATTGTCCTGTCTCCCCCGTGTGTGTAGTATTTAGTAGATATCGCGTTTGTCATCGGTACATTCCGTAACACCGCCGCTTATCGCCGACTTTACATGAATTTTATATGTAAATTGGAGTGTGTTTATTTACTTTGCAGTGCCCAGACATGCTGTGTTGGACCCCGCAAAGGTGCTCCACTTGTTGTGTGTTTTACGACCCTCCCTTGTGATACAAACCACGAGAAGCTGCGATGTATCCGACTGTCAGCTTAAAGAAATCTTATCAGGACAGGCAAAATTCTATCTCCATGAAACTGACACGATGAAACAAGCATAATTACTCCGAAAACAAAACGACGATTATTACTGCATATAAAAAGGGGTATGTGTAGTATAAACGCACCTCCCGTCGGCCGCGCGAGACAACTTAACGGTTCTTGTTGTACGAGTTATATTGCTCTGGCCGAAAAACGGGTTTTGATCTAGCTTCGCGAGAATTCCCGAGGTAAAAAGAACATCTCGTAAATCTCGGCTGATTAGCCATTTTATTCATTTCCTCGTTCCAAGTCCATATTTTATCTCTTTTGTGATATTGTGTGTCATTTGCAGAGTCGCTTATAATTAATCGGAAAGCGTTGTTAAGAAGAGAGAAAGCGGAGAGGTCCAGAGAAGGGCAGGGGGCATAATTTATTCACATTACTAATTAATAACATGCATTATTTCCTTTTTATTTATGACAGGAAATGAAAAGAACACCAGTTATTAGAGTTCATGGCATTTCGCTGAATCTGACCCTATTTACCAGAGCGGATCACCCGCTGTTATAGTTTCGCAGGAGTCATCACCGACGCCTAATCATTGACCACAATTATTGTCGTTGATTTTGTGTATTCCTAAAGTTTTCTTTGTTCACAGTGACCAATATGCGACCGACAAGCAGCCAAGTCGTTTAATTAATCGCATTAAGCTATTTTAACAAAGGCCCCAAGCCCCGAAAGGGCCGAAGATACCCCATATAACCCCAAATTAATGTTTGCAGCGTGACAGATTTGCAATGACCGATTTTCTTCATAACCGTTTAGTTTGACCTCAACCTCTCAGAAAAGGTCAAAGTTGAAGACCCGGTGCGTATTTTAAGTTTCATATGAACATATGTTTGATCCGCGGGTGATCCGTGGGTAAAAGTACTAGAGTTGGAGCAAAATACGTGAACAGATACAATTACCATTGACATAACTGTGACCAACGGGGTCAAAAGTTCACCCACAAAAACTGGTTCTCGTTATCTCCAAAGACAAAAGAGTTATTATATTACAGTCGGAATGTTCCGCATGTCACCCTATCTCTCAGTAGACCCACAAGACAGTTACATTGTAGCACGCATCCATCACGGTCTACATAAATATAGCGTGTTATCATTAGAATTGTTCGTGCGGTTTGTTTAAATCCGATAAATATCTATTCTAAAATGTGTTTCCTGGTTTGACAAAAAAAAGCTTGTATCGGAAAACAAGGTGATGAGAGAAAATGTGTATAGTACACGCGGATGTACAGTTAAGTTTTGTTTATACATGAAGGCATTATAAACAGAGACAAACATATCGTCTCCGACACCCCAACATAATTATTTATGTAGAGTATAGATGTATGGTGGACGGGGGGGTATGAAGACGCACGTAATATCTCCGTCATTCACAAGGTTGTGATCCTCGTTAAATGGGTGGGTTGGTGGTACGCGAGGGGAGGGGGATTTACTCTGTTATATGGTAGTGATGTACGTGTGTTGGGTAGGGTAGATACCGAGACACATGAACATTTACCGTCTCTGTTACATGGTAGTGATGTACGTGTGTTGGGTATAGAGTAGATACCGAGACACGCGAACATTTACCGTCTCTGTTACATGGTAGTGATGTACGTACATGAACATTTACCGTCTCTGTTACATGGTAGTGAAGTACGTGTGTTGGGTATAGGGTAGATCCCGAGACACATGAACATTTACTGTCTCTGTTACATGGTAGTGATGTACTTGTGTTGGGTATAGGGTAGATACCGAGACACACGCACATTAACAGTCTCTG